GCCCAAACCGTGAAGTCATGCAAAGCTGTCGAGGGCCTTAGCGCCGCTAAGGCCTGTGTGGATAGCGGCGTTTTGGAAGCTTAGCGGGATAGAGGCTAACAGCTAAGAAGGCTTAGCGCCGCTAACCCCTTAGCGGCGCTAAGGTCTGTTTTGTAATAGGCGCGATTTTTGCGGATTTTCGAATTGAAAGCTTAATAGATCGAGCCTAGGGCATATTTTGGGTCTCCTGACTTCGTTTTTTCGACTTTTCTTGAGAGAAAACATATTCCTCTCTTAGTTTTTCACTTGTGATTTGATTTGGAGAGTAGAAAACTCCTTTTCTCGCTTTTGGATTCGATTTGCTCTCGTTTTCAACATTGGATATTAATCGTAAGCTATATTTTCGTTTAATTTATGATTATGATGGCTTGGATTATTGATGATTTTGATGTTGAATCGATCATGAGTGGCTAAATTCATATTCTAGGGAATAGGGATTGATGTTTTGAATTCGCTTGCAATTATCATGTTCGTGATTGTTCAATTTGTACGAGTTAAGCTTTTTCTAGGGTTTTCAATCATCGTTCGAGAGTTCTGAGAATTATTGAAGGGTGACACTTCAATTTCCAATTGTTTCAATTGAATTCGATAAATTCGTGCATGTTGTTGATAATTCTAAATGGGTTAGTGGATTAACAAACCTCTAGTCTCCTTTAATCGACTCTTAGAACTGAAAGGGGAGGAGTCGGTCGAAATAGACTCGTATAAACTAGGCTTGTTCGTAATTGTATTGCCTAGGTGTTAAATGACTTGTTAACTTGTCGTTTAAGTTTGTTCTCTTGTTACGAAAAGTTATTGAGAATGAGTGCTTGAACGTGTCGGTTATTCAAATCACTTAACCGAACAATCTCTTGCTTGATAATTGCAATGTCAAACCAAAACGGATATCCCCGACTCCCTAGCTCCTTAAATCCTATTTGTTCTTTGTTATTGCTTTGATATTTTTATTACTTTATTTGAATTTTCGCAGTAGTTGATAATTAAAACCAATCAAATATCTGAATTAGTATGTTTAGGAGTTTTATTTCTTTTTGTGCGGTTGAGTAAACGCACAGAATATTCCGGCTAACCTTCCTCGTGAGACACGACTCGGTGTTCAAATCTTTCAATTCTACTCCGGAAAAATATTTACAATAGTTGATAATTAAAACCAATCAAATATCTGAATTAGTATGTTTAGGAGTTTTATTTCTTTTTGTGCGGTTGAGTAAACGTACAGAATATTCCGGCTAACCTTCCTTGTGAGACACGACCCGGTGTTCGAATCTTTCGATTCTACTCCGGAAAAATATTTACAACGAGCCCGACAAATCGCGGAGGGAGACCGCACCCGCACATGAAAGGGGATAATTTTATTCTCTTTCTTTTATTTTTATTAGTATGTTAGGCTAGTTTTTATTTCTTGTTATGGGGAAGTCGAACCCCACGATTGACGATGTTTGATTAATTTACGTGATTGATTATTGAGTTATCTTTTTGGAATTATTTGTGTTATTTTGAATAATTAACCATGATGTGTTGAGTCTTATTTAGATTGATCACCTAGATTAGGCTTTTCATATCTACAGCCGAATTAGACCTTCAATCCGTAATTATTGTTGTGTTTAATTCATAAGAGGCTACCGGAAGACGTTTACTACCGGGGATAACACGACCTATTTAAGTGAACGAACGCGATTGAGTTCACTACTTAGTCTAGCCAATTTTTTCTAATTCGTAAAGTGGTTAATTGTACTAAATCTTGAAATCATTTTTCTGGACTGTACAAGAATTCAGGTCTAATTGTAAAGCCTCTCGCTGTTAGATTAAAAATAAGAAAAAATTCGAGTAACAGACCGTGTCGTTGCCTAGGGCTAGTAATTCTATAAGATAGCGAGATTTGATATCAAACTTGATTAGACGAGTCGATCGAGGGTGTAGATGGAACCGTGAACTAGAAAATTCTCTTATTTATTTTATTTTCTATTTTTATTTCCTTTGTTTAGATTTTATTTGTTTCATTAGGATTTTAGTTAGTTTAGCTATTAATCCAATCCCCC